GTCCCTGATTGATATCTAGCAATGTGTCAGGGCAATACATGTGAGGGGAAATGTTACGTGGTATGACAAAACCAAATTCGTTCGTTTACCGTGAAACTATAATCCCTTCGTCAATATGATCCGATCAATTACGAGATATGGAATTGTGTCAATCTCGATCATCGATCATATCTTTCACTCCACTATTAAGTCAATATAAATCGAAAACTCCTTTTCGACTTATGAGTACACCTTGGCCAAGGATTTCATCATTGACTTAATTGAATGAAACGCAGATCATAATCTCCTACTATCTAAGAGTGACGAATCCTTTATTGATCAATCACAACCTTCATACGATTCTTGACGTACCCGAACGATGTCGTATTAGCGGCCCTTTTCAGAGCAACATCCAACACCGCCAAAGTATGACTGTCCTCATATAAGGTACCATGACGACCTCAAGTCAAAGGACCAATTTCACTACCGAACGTTAGAGATTAACCACCGACACTCAGATAGTTATCCATGTGGAATCTCTCGACGGGTCTCCAATGTTTTGTTCTATAACAAACATCCACGTGTTCATTTAAGTGTCACCACACTTTAACTTGTGAGATCAGCCACTTACTTCACAAGTAAGAAATGCCACACGTGATGGTCTATCCGTAATAACGATATCCGTATCTCGTTATTACTTACGACCACGGATGATTTAAGATTCAATCAGATGTAATTTGTATCTCACAATCACAACTCCTTGTGATTAATAAATTACAAATATTTGAATCTACGGACTCTATTATTTATTTAATTGTCTATTAATTAATATAATAGATCTGCCATTTAATTGCATTAATTATATATAAAAGTATTTATGTCCAAAGTCGATTGGACCTAGGGCATAATACTTACATATACATCATGAACAAATGACTGAAATTTTTTGGCATTGAGTGATAAATACCTATTGCCAAATTCCTTTTGATTACATTCTGAAAAATTGAACTTTCCAAGTCCCTTGAGGTGTTCTTGCAATTTTTGAAGATTTTCGAGATATTGCACTGTTAAATATAGTTATAATTACTGTATGTGATTTTCGTTCTTTGCTCCAGCATTCCCAAAAGAAGTTGGCGATTAAAATTATGGTTGTGAAGGATTGATAGCTTCATTTTTCAGGAGCTTACTTCATCAATACAAACAATACCTTGCACTAAATCCTGAAAGGATTCCACAAAACAGTGCTGTTACTCAGTTTGCTGAAGCATTGTCTAAAGCGTGGAGTGAATATAATAACCCGAGGTTCGATTTAGTTAATGAATTGTATTAATTCTGAATCTGCTACTGTTAGCACATTGAATTTGTTATGAACTTAAAACATCCAACGCAGGGCAGTGGTTATTGTTGTTGTACAAACTGAAGAACGAAATATGTCTGATCAACAATGGCTTTGTAAAACGTTGAAGGAAAGATACCCTTTTGAGTCATGTAAAATGCCTCTCATTGTACATTTTTTCATTTATGAATAGCAAGACAAAGATGTATAAGAAAATGTTCTAAACATCACTTAAATGCAACTCGTCTTCCAGTTTTTGAGGCAAAAATATCAATTAATTTTGTATAATCGAGTTGTTCAACCATTTCTTTTTCAATGGACAACATAGCCAATCCATTCAATCTTTGCTGTGACATGGTTGATCGAAGATAAGTTTTGGTCAATTTCAATTTGGAGAAAGTTCTTTCTGCTGATGCAACTGTAACTGGTCTAGTAAGCAAAATCTTGTAAGCAATGCGAGCATTCGGAAAACAACCATTCATTTTCTTCAAGTAATTTAGTACATCAATTGCTCCTTTTATTTCTCCAGGTAAATAGCACTTCAACAACTCCGTACATAAGTCATCACCAATAATGTCAGAATGTCCATTATGGCTCAAATACTGCTCAAGATTTTAACAAACTGTCAACATGCATACTCCTTAAACTCTCTAAATTAAGCAAAAATCCAAATGTCTCTTCATAATGTTTAAATTGATCAAACCGAGTTTGAAGTGAAGATCGAGCTTGGTCAATTATAAAGAGAAAATAATCAACTCGAAAAGATTCTTCAACTGATTGTATTACCTCTTCACTACCACTTTCATCAAACTACATCTTTCTTCGAATATTACGTTTCTCTCGAAAAACAGCTTTAATTCCCATTTCAACTGCTATTTTTTTAACTTCATCCAGGGCACTGGCAAATCCAGATTCTCTATAATTTTCGAGAAACAAAATAAGTGCTTCTAAAAGCTTGATGGCCTCATCAATATCCATATTTTCGGTTTGAAAAAATTTATTCACAGTATTGAAAGCATGCAACAACTTCTACCAAATGACCATACCAAGTAAAAACTCAAAATTTTCAAGTTCATATATTACTAAGACTCAGCTTCACTTTTTGTTTTAGGATCTTTAACAATGTTTGCCAAGTCAAGTAAAGCGTCTCTTATTTGTACAGATTGCTCTTTTATAGGCTTGACACTTTCCACATAACTTTCCCAGCGTGTTTGTGACAATGGCTTAAGTGTTAGACCTTCAACCTTATCTTTAAAAAATTTTCATCGTTTGGGAGAAGAAGAGAACACTGTATAGATACGTTGTATCACTCCAAAGAATAACATAGCTTTAGAATAACAATTTGCCATGTCACATAATGCTAGATTCAAGCTATGACAACCAAATGGCGTATAGAAATCTCTAAGATTTATTTCAAGTAACCTTTTTTGTACAACTTTATATCTCATGTTCATGTTAGCTCCATTATCATACCCTTGATATCTTATATTGCCAACAATTCATCTTTAATTGCACAAGCTAATAATTTGTGTTATACGATGGTCGTATTATTTCTTTAGCAGCTGTCCCAGGAAGTTGTCCCGAAGCGCCAAACCCCAATTTGTATATTCTATGTTTTCCTTTTCCCTGCAGTCGTTCTCGACAGAAATTGGGGAGGGCCAAAATTAGCCGCCCTTGGTTATGCAAAAGTAACTTTTACTTGTATTTTTACTTTTTAATGTCAGACTACACTTTTTGTTCTTTCCATCTGTTCCAGTAAACACACGACATGCAACTAGAAACAAAAACAAAAAGAAAAGGACACAGCTAGATGATAAGAAATCATCCTGTCTCTTCCCTTTAAGCTATTAGGTTTGGCCATGGGGCCAGTTTTCCGAGCATTCAACTTGACTATATATTAAGGCATACAAATGCTTTTGAATTTATTTTATGAGAAAATCTTTCATGTTATTCTTATTGTAAGTTTTGAGCAGAGATGATATTTAAGTTGAACGCAGTGCTTATTATTGTTGGAAAGAATTTAACTTCATTTGTTGTAGAAATCAGAAATGTTCTCCATTCTTGTATTGTCCACGAACTGTTTATATGCGTGTGTATGAGATTGATATGGATAGATTCAGATAGTACTGAGGATAGAGTCTACAGGTTTCTGATATGGTTTTGGAAGTAGAATGTTAGCTGGATTTGAGTTCATGAAAGAATAATTTTACAAGTAGGATTCAATTGCATAATTTGAGCTAATGGAGCAACTACATGTCGAAAAGACAGTACACTACTTTCAAGTTTAAACACTAATGTAAGCCACACTTCTTACATGATGTCTTGTTCTAGGAAAATGCATTCTGAAAGCACTTCCTTTTTTTTTTTGGTCATTTAATTCATTTTCTTTTCTCTTGTTTAGTTTTTTGAACGAACCGCCCTCCTTCGTATACGTCGGGAGTCCATTGATGAGAAGGGGCTGGGGGTCGAGTCCTCTTCAAGGCATAATATTGAGAATGCTCATTGAATGAGCAATTCAATAAGAGAGCTCGGATCGAATCGGTATATCTAAGCACGATGAAGAAGAAGAGATTTAGGCCCCATTTGGTAGCAATTTTTTTCAAAATGTATTTTTCTCTCTCTTCTTTTCAACAACACATTTTTTATTAAAATAATATTACACGTAAATCAAAAACTTTTTCTTATTTTTCAACCACACATTTCACATCAATTTACTATTCTAAAATACATTTTTACATAAAAAATGTCTATCAAACACCCCCTAAAACAACGGAAATAGCAACTAGGAGTACCAATAGGTGAACAAAGTTGAGTAGTAATGGGCTCTTCTCAATCTATGAATCTTTCGACCGAACCAGTCTCAACACTTAAAATATACTACTACTTTACACGAGTATTTTACTAACATTAACAATCCTCTTCAACATGGAACTAAGCTAGCTAGGTTGACGTTCACAAGCGACTTAACATGGATATGTGATACCTTAATAAGGACGCTAAAGAAGAAGAGTGAAACCGACGGATATTGCAAATAGGAGTATCAATAGACCAGTAAAGTTGACTATGAGCGCTTCTTGACTCCGTCTCAAGCTTAGGAAAATGAATCGTTCGACCAAACCAGTCTCAGCACTCAAAATTGCCATGAAGAATATAACCGCACCAAAGAGGGCATGCCATGGAATAAGCCTATCCCTTGCTGATGGTTTTGCACCAGGAAACCACAAGGAAATGAAGGAGAAAATCCACTGACAATACAATTTTAAAGATTTTGGCATGAAATTGTTACAAATAATAATGTCAATGAGAAATAAGTAGGAGTTATTAGCAATTACCTGCAAACCAAAAAGGGAGATGGTAGAGATTCCAAGCCAGGAATGTAAAGTATATACATCAGGAAGTCCAGACTCGTGGTGATACTTAAAAACTGCATATATGCCCACAATGCCAGCAGCCAAAGCAATAAAATGCAGAATCAAGTGAAATATTTTCTGAATATTTCTTCTTGCTCGAACTGTCTTGTATGCCATTATAGCTGTGAATAATCCAATATCAGACTGGCTTTGGATTTTAGAGAAAGTCTATAACTTGCCGACATATCGGACAGTCCAAGACCTGAGTCGGACGAGCTACCGGCTATCTTCTATTTTGGATTTTTCAATACTCAGAGATTATCGTAGGGACACTTCGGTTTAGTGTCCAATATCCTATGATTCTAATGTAAAAAATTGCATTTCACGTCTCCATGTCATGTGTCCTTGCATCTTTAACATATGCTCATTACTAATTCGACACAGAGTTTTGAGAATTTGGGACTATTTCTAAACTCACTCCGTGATTCTGCTTTAAAAATACCAACAAGAATAGAAAAAAAGAATAATAGTAACACCACTACAAGAACTTATTGCAAAAATTGTTACAGTTACGCTGAATCTCTACACCTAAAACCTCAAGTGCACCCAACAAAGCAAATACTAGGGAATTACACAAAATATACAAAGTCGCCACATAGGTTCTACTTGGCCCCTGTTTGTCTCCCATTATTTCAAAATTCCTATTTTTTTTTTTTTTTACGTACTTATTTTCAATTGCATATTCACACAATTAAATATTTTACATGTAAATCCCAAACCATTTTCTACAGTTTAACAACATATAATCAAAAAATTCACTATTCAAGTAATGATTTTCAGAAAAAATGGCACCAAACCGGGGCTCGAGACGATTAACATCGTTCGGCTAGGCCAGTTATGTATGTCGAGGACCACCTCTCCTCGGCCAAGCCAAGCCAAGCTTGTCCCGGTCCAAGGGACTTGCTCAATCTTCACATCAGACCAGCTTGGCATATATAGTTTCCATAAAGAACCCAAAAAGATTTTCAACGTGACAAAGAAATACAAATAAATCTGAAACTGTCATAAAATTTCGTTACCTTGTCCCGAAATCAAGACGAAACCTATCACCATTAGCAGTGGATGCACCTGCAGCATGCAGCAAACAATTGAAGATTGATAATGAACTACACACGCAAATTAATTACATATCAGTGTAAATATTTGTAAATTTACATTGAAAATCTTCGGTTTGTTAGCTGATTTGAAAGCGAGGCCTTCGCGGAAGTGAAGAAGCCAAACCAGCACCAAAGTGGTTATTGCTATAGCCAGCTCAATCTTCACATCAGACCAGCTTGGCATATATAGTTTCCATAAAGAACCCAAAAAGATTTTCAACGTGACAAAGAAATACAAATAAATCTGAAACTGTCATAAAATTTCGTTACCTTGTCCCGAAATCAAGACGAAACCTATCACCATTAGCAGTGGATGCACCTGCAGCATGCAGCAAACAATTGAAGATTGATAATGAACTACACACGCAAATTAATTACATATCAGTGTAAATATTTGTAAATTTACATTGAAAATCTTCGGTTTGTTAGCTGATTTGAAAGCGAGGCCTTCGCGGAAGTGAAGAAGCCAAACCAGCACCAAAGTGGTTATTGCTATAGCCAACAAATGAGCAAACATACTCACTGGAAATGATGACATTCCATAGTTATAACTTCTTTTTGGTGCCATTTTTAATCAACAAATTGTAACACTCCTATTTATGAGAAGCTGCAGAAGGAAAATTAATATATATAAAAGGTACTGAAACAAGAAGAGCTGTTTCAATTTCCAGAAGTGTGTTAAACGAAGCCAAATGCACAAAGAGGCTTTTTTTGTATGCGTTATAAAATATGGTTAAATTACATCTAAGGTCTCCAACGTTTTGAAAATGTCGCATCCGTGTCCTCAACATTCGTATATCCACTTCTCAAAAGACTTCAATTGGCATGCATAACAAATAGGCCAATTCGACTGGTTTTTGTTCAATTTTTCGTGGAGTCAAATTCTCTTCAACACGGTTCAAGGCTATCTATAAAGACATGACGAGCATATAATAAACCAACTATTTGTCGCACTCTTACCCAAAGTTTGAGCTAACGAAAAATGTTTATTTGAACACTAAATGGTCATGTGAAATTAGATTGAAAGAGTAAAACTGTCTAACTTTTTAAATATGATTAAACGATGACTTCACGACACCTATTGTAATCCATCCCCAAGTTCACGTGAGTGACCTGGGGTCAATTAACATTCAAATAAACTTTTTCTATTAAATTGTTGATCATGTGCTAAAATAAAACTTCCGATGACTAAAGTGGTACGTTTTGAAAGTTTAGTGACCAACAGTTTTGAAATTGTTGAAGACTTGAGTCTAGCCGGCTTACCAAATATTATGATTAACTTTTTATAAATTACAATGGTGGTTTTGGTTCCACTTCATTCAACTCTAGTATGGGGATAACATATGTCTTACAATAAAATTCAAATTGCTCTTTTTTAACCAATTATGTCTTTTTCTTAATAAATATTTTACATGGATCACTAGAAGAAAAAATAAAAAAATAAAAAATAAAAAATTCTCCAAGTAAATTGGATTTTAAAATTAGTAATTTTTATAATTTTTCTTTCCATGTTTTTACAAAGCCTCTTTCTTGTAGCTAGAACAAGAAAAAATCATTTTCAAAAATGACAAAAGAGTGAGATAGATGCAATGAATCTTGTGGTCTTGATTTATTTCACGACAAAATATTTAGATAGATACAATGAAACTTGTGGTCGTGATTGAGATAGAAACAATGAAACTTGTGGTCTTGATTTGATCACAATGATTAGCTCTTGTTTGGTAATTATTATTATTATTATTATTTTTTTTTCCAAATTTAAGCTAATCAAACTTCACTTTTAAATCACAACTTTTATCAACTTGTAAACAACACATTTCATTGGATCCACCAACTTATAATTTTAAAAAACTTTGTCAATCAGCAGCTAAATAAATTTGATAACGATAATTAAGATCGTGTTGATAAAACCATAGCACTTTAAACTATGGTAATATGTTTTAAAAAATATATATATTCAAATTTACTCAACTTTTTTCGGTGATTGTAAGAATTGAAATTCGTTTAAATAAGCATGGAAAAAGCATCCAAACAATGCATAACATGTACACTATATATGGATGTCAACGGTTGGTCGGTCAATCGATCTTAATTACAAGTGTTTAGGGTTAATTAAAAGTGGTTGGGACTTAATTGCGTTGCTTAATGCACATTGACGCCAAATGAAAGGCGTTTAATTTTGTAGGGATTAGATTTTTGACTTATTACTTTTCTAATAAAGTTTGAAAATTGAATAAACAATATTGGACATTTATTTAGATTATATTTCACATGTTACAACCTTCTACGTTTCCATTGAACGATCAAATAATAATAATAATAATAATCAATTATGCACACAAGAATTAGAAATCGATTTAATCACTTATTAAAGGTGAATTCGTTTAAAATGTGTGATTAAACATCTGATTGTAAGAATGAACAAAATATTTTAGTTTATTATGAGAGTGACGAAGCAAATTTGGAACAAAAAACTCCACTCCAAGTGTTGGGGGCTAATTAAAAGTGGTTGGAATTGTTGTCTTTTTCAATAATGTGTCTCTTATTGTACAGTAATGGCAGGTTAATATGGTGCCAAATGAGCCTAGAATAGATAAAAATAAAATATTGGACAATAATTTAGAGTTATCTTATTATATTTTCACACGTTTCACCCTCTTGTGTTTAGCATTGTCATTTTCAATAAATTTGGATGATAGTTGGATAATTCTAGTCTAAAAATTATTAAAGATTATGAAAATTGAGGGGGCAATCAAATTTTTCACTTTTGACTATAAGGAGCTAGTAGTCTCGAGATCTTGTACGAACTATCTAATTAACACTAGCTCAATTTCAAAACTTGGGCCCCCGCTTGGAGCTCCTTCTAATTAATTTTTTATAGTGATGTAATGATTGGTATAATGTCACGTGATATTTTATTATTGAATTTTTTAAAAACACAATCACATTTTCCATCCAATCATAAAATGTCACACACTTTTCTGTCAAAAAATCTGTCATAATTTGTTTGTTAATGTGTTATTTTCCTTGTCGAAAATGTCCAGTGTATAGGGGCATTCTCACGGGTGTTTTACAAGGCCCCTAATTGTGCAGGGCCCCACATGCATTTAGAAAAAAAAATTACATGGGCCCTCCTACGTATGTGTGTGGCCTGATAGGTCCTTATGAAACAGGGACATGTAAGCCTAGCGCGGTTGTTGCCTTGCCTTTATTAGATAGTTGGAAACTCACCTACCCATGTCTATGACACCATTACATGAAATAACATGTCAACGGCAATTTTGAAAAATAAGGTGAGTTATACGTGGAACACTTTGAAGTCAAACAATGGTAGCGTCTTGCCCCTCAAGGCATAGTCCAGTGGTGCAAATGACAGAAGTGAGGTTATCTCACGCCTTGCTGACAGCCGCAGTGTGGGGGTTCGATTCCTGAGATATGAAATTGGACTCTTTGTAGGCGCAATGTACAGACAGTTTTTGTTCCCTAACCTGTTGGGATACATCCCCCTATTTACCTCCCTCACAAAATTTTAGGGACGGGGCGGTGGAGAACCTCAAAGTTGGGATTCAACCTTTAAAAAATGGTAGCGTCTTGGTCAGAATGATGCAACAATCTCAGATGTGGGGACTGCAAATTATGAAAATGGGAATGGGAAATGTGAAAATAATGGGGCGGAACAGACGCTTGGAAAATGAGCAAATAATGATGTCACGTTCACGTATGTGTTTGAGCCAATGTTTGATCTTTATTTTTAAAATTCATTTTTCATTAAATATATTTTTAACTGTATATTTGTTGGGATCTACAATTTTTATTAACTTTTCAATGTTATGTTTTATCAACTTTTATTAAAATATACTAAAAATCTGATTTTTAAAAAATAAATCCAAACTGAGGCTAAGAAATAGAATTACTATGGTTCGAGAGAGAGTAATATAGTATCTACTCGAACACTATAGTGGAAGTATGTTGAATCAAGAGATAATCAGCGTGCGTTTGATGCAACTATGTTTTACATTTTTGGAAAATTATTTGTAATAGCATGTTTGTAAAGGATGGACATTTTAATTGAAATCAACGTCCGAAAAAATATAATAATAAGAATCGATAATTGATCGGTTCCGAAACAGTTCTTTTTATTTTAGAACCGAAACCATGGCTACTCAGATATATCTCAATTAATTTTTTAATAATTTTTTTAATCAATTTATAGGGCTGGAATATATTTTTGCTGAACTTATTAACTTAAACAGGTTACGAATTACAAAATAAAAACCCGTCCAACGCTATCCAATCCAATCCTACTAACCTAATCCAACCTATCAATAAAATAAAAAATGAAAAAAAATAAAAAGTAATTGTAAAACTTGAAGTCTTAAATCGTTTCTAAACCCTAAAAATGAATTGCAAGGTCCGTTTGCCTCTCTCGTTAGTCGCCTTGGAGTTGGACTACCGTTGCTCCCAATTCAGGAAGTTAAAAATGACCGACTTGGTTGGTCCATATTATGAAAAGAAAGAAATTGAAGCTATCATCGATTTGTAAAGCAAGTTTAGGCAATAGGCATTTTCTAGTATATGCTTCTAATGACTTGTACGCCCCTATCTGAACCACTTCGAAAAGTTCATCACCACATCATGCAAGGTGTGGAACACTCATCCGAAGTGGTTGCGAAGTGACTTCACCTATGGTAACGATCTGCTATCACACTACGAGGCATAGGTAATCCTGCGGAACTATCCGAATTGGTTCCGAAGTGACTTCACCAATGATGACGATCTGCTATCACACTATGAGACATAAATAATCCTGCGAGACTGACCGAAGCGCCCTCGCCCCTGAATCCAAGGCGAAATGCACTCCAGGGACCTCGGTCAGAGGATCCGCCGTCAATTTCAGAATAAGATCTTTTCTACCCCTAAGGTTTAAAGTGATTTGACGTCTCTATGAGATTAGTTGATGTGACATATCAACTTTATGTCAACTCAACTCGGGAGAAGTAATTACCCGTCCACTCTATAGACGCGGTTGACTGAAGCCTATGAGCAAACACCTCATACCGTTCAGATGTATACACGTGTCCCATATCCAACGGTTCTCCTCACCTATAAATACCCAAGGCTTGGCAAGAGGCAAAGATAATGAAACTCTTACTACTTAGCACTCCATAATAAGCAAATAAATATATTCTCCTCCCCACTATTTTGCACAACCTTGGTACTGTTCCGATCCCCTGAACCTAACTTGACCGTCGGAGTGTATAGGACCGCCGCCACCCCCGCTGGTTCTAGCCGTGTACATCTGACAGTGTGTTGATTGTGCGCAGGGAGGAATATGTAGAATGGCTATCGGTTGGCCACGTGGAGGGTCCAATTTTCGAGGTCAACAGATTGGCGCCGTCTGTGGGAAACTTCCGATTCAAAGTTCTGCATTCTCCTCCGGAAAACTAGCAAGTTACCCTAAAAATGGCACTTTCTTGAAAAAGAACAAAGTCGAGTTACAACCCAAATTCTCATCACCCTTGAAAAAGGAGATAGAATGAGTTCTAGCCATGAAGACGACAACCCCATGAGAGAGGCCTCTGAAGAAGAGGTGCTCTATAACAATGTCACTCACCAGAGACCCCATCACCGACGTCGTCGAGGAGAAAGAACAGCCATGCTCACTGAAAGAATAGCTCAAATAGCTGCGGGAATGAGAAACATCGCAGCTCAGAATATGGCGATGCATGAACTTCTCATGCAAGCAAGAGGTCACCAGGGCTCTCAAATGCCCCAAGGATCTTATCCAGTGCAGGAAGCCCCTGTATCTCGTTCCCGAGTCTATATGAGCCAGCACAGAGAACGTCCCCTCGAAAGAGAAGTGGACGCGGAAGCCACATCCTATGTGCAAGGGAGCCAGCCAGCAGAACCACAGCTAGGGGACGATTTTCCTCAAGAATATGAGGAACAAAGGTCAATAAGCGCCTTCGACCGAATAGGGCAGGACCCTAGCAATAGGGTTCGCTCAGTGCAAAGATCAATTCAGCAAAACCAGGAGCAAAAACAAGCACCTCCTCCTCCTAGAAATATGAGGGATAGAAGGAACCTAGTCGATTGGGGGAGCTAAAGAGAAGCACCTCCACCTCCCCAGGATATTCAAGATGATGAAGGGTCAGATGGGCCTTGCCGATCTTATGAAATCGATGATGATGATGATAACCTCCCTTTCTCAAGGGAGATCCGAAGCTTCCCAATGCCGGCGAACTTCATGCCCCCAAGATCCCCAAGTATGAAGGAAAGGGGGACCCGGAGAAGTACCTCACCAAGTACATGACACAGATGAGACTCAGAAGAGCATCGCCTACTTTGAAATGCAAAGCCTTCCACTTAACCTTGGGGCGGAACTGCTGAAGTGTGGTATAGCAGACTTCCTCCCCTGAGCATTAGGAGTTGGCCAGATTTGAAGAAGGAATTCTTGAACCAATACCTCTCACGCAGGGAATGAGAGGCCCTAATGCAACGCCTGCAAGATAAGAGGCAGGTCCCTGGAGAGACGCTGAAAAGCTATCTCGCCAGATTTACAGACAAAATCACATACTGCGAACAGGTCACTGACAAAGAAGCCCTTTCAGCTCTTAAAGGCGGCCTCAATATGAACACTTTGTTCTGAAGGGATGTGCGCAGCAAAAATCCCATCACTTATGACGAGCTAGCAGAAATGATGAGAGTTGAGATCGTTAGTGAAGAGATGATTGACCACAGAAATCATGCAACGCAGGGACTCCCTTTGCCTCAGAGGTAGGTAGGTCGAGGACCCGCAGCACACATTGTCACTCAGCAATGGACTCAAGCAAGTCATACAATAGCTCCTACCTTCGGACAGGCACTGGCCTTTGCCACGCTGAATGCAATCCCGGTGCTGGCATACGAGAATCTCCCTGGCGAAGCAGGGCCATTTGGAAGAACTGATAATAATAAAAAGAAGAAGAAGAAGAAGCGGTCAAACAGGCCCTGGGAAGGGGCAAGGTTTTTTATTTTCCACCAACTCTATGGGCATGACACCAGCGAGTTCAGAGACACTAATCGACCCCCGGTCGAAGTAACCCACATCCCTCCCGGTGGAACGAATATCCTCGTAGATCCGCCTCTCTGAACAGGGGAGAGAGAAGGCATAGAGAGCAATCACCCCAGAGAAGAGAATCAAGGGACCGAGGACAGTCCAGATAGAGAGATCAGGCCCCATTTTCTGGGAGCCAAGTCATCAGGGAGATCGAACCTCACATCTGTGGCAACACCAAGAACGCCCAAAGAAATTACACAAGGAAAGTAAAGGACCCACCGATAATCACTTACATTGTCAACGAGTCCCAAGAGGCCAACAGGATGGCCCAAATTACCTTCTCCCAGGAAGATGCACAAGGAGTTCACCACCCCCATTGTGACGCATTGGTTGTGAGAGTCATAGTGGCCAGAAACAGACTCAATCGCATGCTCATCGATAATGGCAGTTCGCTAAACATACTGTTCGGCTCCACCTTCGACAAATGCAAATTAAACATGGGTTGATCCCCATGACCGACCCACTATTCGGATTTACTGGAGATAACATCATTCCACGAGGGCGGATCACTCTACCCTTCGAAATGGGTTCGGCACCCCTAGTGGCCCAACACTTCATGGAATTCTTAGTGGTAGACCACAAATCTGCCTATTATGGAGTATTGGACAGACCCGCTTTGAAAGATCTTTGGGCTGTCACATCCATCCACTACATGTGTATGAAATTTCCAACTGAACATGGGATTGCTACGGTCCGAGGCGACCAGATGGGCTCCAGGGCATGTTACTTGAACTCTCTGTGAAAGTCGGAGCCCCGAACTATTAATGTGATCATAGCTGAAGTTGCCAATGAAGCCAGTATAGACGTGGAAATGCTCGACGCCCTTGAATAAGGGTATACCTCCGAACAGGAGGAAGACGTCAACATGGAAGAGACCCCTAAGGACACCCTCTTGATAGATCCCCGAATAATTGACTCTGAACCAAATGCAACCCCAATGGAAGAACTCAAAATTTTCTCCGCCAACCCAGAGGACTCTAGTCAGGTCTTGCGAATAGGGAAAGCACTGTCCCCTGAAGCAAAAGAAGAAATGATAAGCTTTCTGAAAAGAAATTTGGATGTCTTCGCTTGGAAGCACGAAAACATGGTGGGAATAGATCCAAGGATCAGTTGCCACCATCTTAACATCAACTCCACATATGCCCCTCATCGGCAGAAAAGACGTACCCTCAACCCAAAGAGGTACGAGGTGCTCAAAGATGAAGCAGGCAAGCTTAGCCGCAGTAGTTTCATAAGGGAATTATCTACTCGAAGTGGATATCGAACCCGATCCTGGTGAAAAAGCCTAGCGGGAAGTGGAGGGTATGCATAGACTTCACCAACTTGAATAAGGCATGCCCTAAATACAACTTCCCACTTCCTAGGATAGACCAACTTGTGGATTCTACCGCTGGACATGAACTATTGAGTTTCATGGATTCATATTCAGGTTACAATCAGATACCCATGTTTCGACCTGATTAGGAAGCTACATCATTCATTACAGACAGAGGACTCTACTGCTACAAAGTCATGCTTTTCGGATTGAAAAATGTCGGGACTACATATCAGAGACTGGTCAACATGATGTTCGCTGAACTCATTGGCAAAACCATGGAGGTCTACGTGAACGACATGCTAGTCAAAAGTCTCCAGGCAAGCGAACACGTAAGTCACCTCGACCAAACCTTTCAGATACTTAGAAAATATAAGATGAAGTTGAATCCCTTCAAGTGCACCTTTGGGGTGGCTTCAGGTCAGTTCTTGGGGTACATTGTTGACCAAAGAGAAATTGAAGCAAATCCAGTAAAGATCGTTGCCTTGTTGGAGATGAGGTCACCTCAGAAGTCGAAGGAGGTCCAAAGCCTCAGTGGTCAGATAGCTGCACTCAGTCGCTTCATCTCCAAAGCTACAGATAATAGTTTACCCTTCTTCAGCGTGCTTAAGCAAGGAAAAAAGTTCCAATGGACTTCTGAGTGCGAGGAAGCCTTCCAAGCGCTGAAAATGCACCTCGGAGAGGCGTCCTTTTTGTCAAAACCTCAACCAGAAGAGTCTCTGCTGCTGTATTTGGTGGTTTCGGACGTGGCAGTCAGCGCTATCCTAGTCAGAGAAGAAAATGATCACCAGTTGCCAGTATACTACGACAGCAAAGTACTCCTCCCAACTGAAACACGCTACCCAGACATGGAGAAACTGGCGCTTGCCCTCATCACAGCCTCAAGAAAACTGAGGTCATACTTCTAGGCCCACTTGATCGAAATTCTCACCAACTTTCCATTGAAGCAAGTGCTGCAGAAAATAGAAGCATCAGGATGCCTGCTAAAATGGGCAATCGATCTCAGCAAGTTCGACCTACTGTCCCAACCTCGACATGCCATCAAGGGTCAGGCCCTTGCAGATTTTGTGGTTGAATTTACCAAAACCCCGGAAATGGAGGCAATAATGGAACCAGTTGAGCCCCCAACATGGAAACTGTTCGTAGATGGATCCTCAAGAGAGGCGGGCTCTGGGGCAGGAATTATCTTGGAAAGCCCGGAGGGTCACAAGCTAAATTCCGCGGTAAGGTTCGGCTTTTAAGCCTTGAACAACTCTGCCGAATATGAAGTCCTTCTAGCAAGCCTTAGACTAGCAAGAGAAATTTAGGTTAGAAGACTCTTAGCCAGCAGTGATTCTCAACTGATAGTGAATCAAGTCAGTGGAAGCTTTGCGGCAAAAAACAGCAGTATGGTTGTATACTTGAAATTGGTTCTGGACCTCGTCCCTTAGTTTAAAAGGTTCGAACTGATTCAAGTCCCACGCCCAGAGAATAAACATGCAGACGCCCTTTCAAAATTGGCCGCCAGTAAAGATTCTGAGCTATTAAAGGTCGTCCCTATTGAACACTTATCGAAGCCCTCGATTTCCGGAGGTGAAGAGGTACTATGGATAGAAGGCACCCCATTATGGATGCCGCCCATCATCACCTATCTAAAGAATCAAACACAACCTGCTTCTAGAAGCGAGGTGAGGAAGTTAAGAAGAAGGGCTGCGCTAAATTGCGCAGTAAGGTTCGGCTTTAAAGCCTTGAACAACTCTACCGAATATGAAGTCCTTCTAGCAAGCCTTAGACTAGCAAGAGAAATTTAGGTTAGAAAGCTCTTAGCCAGCAGTGATTCTCAGCTGATAGTGAATCAGGTTAGTGGAAGCTTTGCGGCAAAAAACAGCAGCATGGTTGTATACTTAAAATTGGTTCTGGACCTCGTCCCTCAGTTTAAAAGGTTCGAACTGATTCAAGTCCCACGCCCAGAGAATAAACATGCAGACGCCCTTTCAAAATTGGCCGCCAGTAAAGATTCTGAGCTATTAAAGGTCGTCCCTATTGAACACTTATTGAAGCCCTCCATTTCCGGAGGTGAAGAGGTACTATTGATAGAAAGCACCCCATTATGGATGCCGCCCATCATCGCCTATCTAAAGAATCAAACACTACCTGCTTCTAGAAGCGAGGCGAGGAAGTTAAGAAGAAGGGCTGCGCACTTCGTCCTGCAAAAGGATATGCTGTACAAAAGACGCTTCGCCTCACTACTTCTCCGATGTGTGAGAGGCGAAGAGGCCACATATATACTTAGGAAAATCCATGAGGAAATCACTCCGGAGGAACGGCCCTGGCACACAAGGTTTTTCGTCAAGGCTATTTATGGCCGACCCTGAAAAGGAATGCTTGTCAGTTTGTCCAGAAATGTGACAAGTGCCAACGCTTCTCAAATATTCAAAGGCAGCCTTCTTAGAGCCTCTCCGTAGTGACCAACCCCTGGCCATTCGCCAAGTGGGGCATCGACTTCATTGGTCCGCTCCCAAAAGGAAGAAGAAGCGCGACTTTCGCCATTGTCGCCATTGACTACTTCACCAAGTGGGTCGAGGCTGAACCTCTTGCCAAGATCACCGAGGCTAATACTAAGAAATTCGTCTAGAAGAATATCATTTGCAGGTTCGATATTCCCCACTCCTTAACAGTTCGACAACAAGAAAATGCAAGAATTGTGTGATGAACTGGGGATAAAAAAGGATTTATCAACGCCTCATCATCCGCAAGCAAATGAACAAATTGAGGCAGTAAACAAAACTATCAAGCATACCCTAAAAAGAAAGCTTGACACCTCAAAGGGGGCTTGGGTCGATAAGCTTCCCCACGTCCTCTGGGCCATCAGAACCATAAGCCGAACTGCAACAAGAGAAACATCATTCTCAATGACCTACGGAGCCGAGGCCATGAGCCCGATCGAGGTCGGGGTCCCATCGCACCGTCGAATACACTTCAACGAGATCAGTAACGACGAAGCCCAAGTGAACGAACTACACCTCCTTGAAGAAAGGAGGGATACCTCCCAGGAGAATTTGGCAAAGTATCATAGGAAGATCGACCCTCAAGTTCTCACGAATCACGGTCCCCATCCCGAGGCGTACATACCTGATCGAGAAGACCAGTCCACTCATGATATAAATATTCATACCTGAACTTGGGGGACCACTGTTACGCCCTTATCTGAACTACTTTGGAAAGTCCACCACCACATCATGTGAGGTGTGGAACGCTCATCCGAAGTGGTTCCGAAGTGACTTAACCGATGGTGACGATCTGCTATCACACTACGAGGTATACGTAATCCTGCGGGACTATCCGAAGTGACTACACCAATAGTGACGATCTACTATCACACTACGAGGTATAGGTAATCCTGCGGGACTGACAGAAGCACCCTCGTCGCTAAATCCGAGGCGAAAGGCACTCCGGGGACCTCGGTCAGAGGATCCGCCGCCAATTTCAGAATAAGATCTTTGTCAAGATCTTTTCTGCCCCTAAAGTTTAAAGTGATTTGACGTCTCTATGAGATTAGTTGATGTGACATGTCAACTTTATGTCAACTCAACTTGAGAGAAGTAATTACCCACCCACTTTATAGACGCAGGTGACTGACGCCTATGAGCAGATGCCTCATACCGTTCAAATGTATACACGTGTCCTACATCCAACGGTTTTCCTCACCTATAAATACCCAAAGCTTGGCAAGAGGCAAATATAATGAAACTCTTACTACTTAACACTCCATAGCAAGCAAATAAATATATTCTCCTCCCCACTATTTTACACAACCTTGGTACTGTTCCGATCCCCTGAGCCTAACTTGATCGTCGGAGTGCATACGGCCGCCACCACCCCCGCTGATTCTAGCCATGTGCATCTAACCGTGTGTTGATTGTGCGCAGAGAGGAATACGTGGAGTGGCTATTGGTTGGCCACGTGGAAGGTCAAATTTTCGAGGTCAACAGATACATTATTATTTGTAATTCTAATGGTTATATTCTCCATTCAGAATGTAATTTTACATCTAGAGTCTTTCAGGCCCGATCCTGGGCTGAGGTGAATAAGGCTTGTACCTCAGGCCCAAGATCTTAAGGGGCCTCATTTTGGCCCTAATTTTTTTTTTTTTTAGTTCAGCTGGCCCAAATGAAATGCCCAATCTAATAACTAAACCAATCCCAACCCAACAATCCATTTATCCAAATCAAATCCAATCCATTTAACAAAATTCCCAAATCTGAAAAGTGAAAATTCATATCAAATGCCTCGCCTCCGACTTTTAAGGGCGACTGTCAGTCCACCGTCACTCCCCTCTCCACAGTGACAGTGACATAGTTCGGTGAGTGACATGAGTCCACCACGAATCTGCCTTGGCTCTTCTTCTGGCTTCTGCTTCTACCGAAGGCTTCGCTGCTCGCCTCCGCAGCCTGCAGGTTCGCCGTCCGCTCTGCACACCGCACTCCACAGGCCACAAAAATCCCCTTCCCTCCGCTACACTGTCAGCTTGTAATAAATACATCCCTTTTATAATTACTAAATTTTACAATTTTACAATTTATTTTTGTTTTCTCGTTCTATTTTGGAAAAATTTATGATTTACTGAATTTATTATTATTATTATTTTTTTTTTTTTTTACAGTATTTCAAAAAGAAGAACGAGAAGCCTCTACGAAGCTTTGCTGAAAGTCTGAAAGTTAAAGAAGGTACTTTTCATCTTTCTCTTTATCTGAAAGCGAGTGTGAAGTGTGAACAGGCGCGAATTGGTATATATAAAAGATAATTTGCGTTTTCTTTTTCCAATATTATGATGGATTGATTAATTGCAAGTTGCAACTATGAACCAGTTACCAGTGAATGATTTTTGGGTGAATCTAGAATTGATTAATTGATTAATTTCTTTTTCCATCTCATCTGTGAATATGTTCTTAATGGTCTCACTGTCTCAGGCATGCAATCAAATTGTGTTGATAAATGTGGCTTTCTCATGTTGCATTTAATTATGTGTTGATCATAGTTGATGAAGAGAAGATAAGATTTCATAACATACAATTTATACTTGTGCATGTGGAGGTGAGCTAGTGCTTGTCAACCCTCTTTTGCTCTCGTTCTCCTTGTAAATGTTTGTGGCTTTCATGGAAAATTCTTCTGTCGTGCTTTAAAAGAAGCTAGTGTTTGTGTTCGTGTTCGTGTTCGTGTTCGTGTTCGTGTTCGTGTCCGTGTCCGTGTCTGTGTGTGAGAAATGGAAAGAGATGGACTTGAAGGAGGTTGGTTTACTTGGTTCTGCATTTTGGGTGAAAAACAGTTCAAAGTTGAAGCTCTAAAGATCAAAAGAACAAGTGACAGACTTAATCAAGAATGTTTTCGATGGTTTTCTGAAGAAAAAAGAACAGAATGAGAATTTGAATGTGAGTGTTAATTGAAGCCATTACTGATTTTCCGATGGTTTTCTAAAGACGGAAAAGCAAAATTGAAGTAATTACTGATCAAATTCAGTTCTAGAAAGCAAGAGAATTACAAAATCTAGATCAAGGTTACAATGACAATGATTATCAGAAGAAAATGCAAACTATCGCGAGTGTTTGCACGATAGAAAGAGGATGCAGAGGAAGAGAACGTGGTTGAGAATACTTTTGAAGGTGGGGTAGGATTGAGGCGTGATTAGGAAGGGGAATTTGTTTCTACTTGCTTGAGATAAAAGGAGAGGAAAAATGAGGAGGAAATCGAATTTAGGGCTCGGATTTTTGCTTTTGCTTCTCAATAAAACAAAATATTTTTAAAAAATTATCTAAACATATTCTTAATCATAGAAGTAACTTTTAACTTTTCAAAAGTCTTGTTAAAACGAGTCCTTAATGTCATTTAACTTACGATTGAATTTTGCAAAAATGTTTAATTCAAACTGCAACGAACTCAATTTAATGTTCATTTTCTAACTGAACATTCTAAAAAGTAGAGGTAAAATTGAAATCTAATCTGTCTTAAACATGTTGCTGTGAAATAGTCAATTGGTTTCAAAATTTTACAACAAACTGGGAGATCTTGCTGTGAAAGGTTGATGAAGAACAAGGAAAAACCAGCAACAAGATCCACTAAAATGGAAGGTATTCCAACAGACCTTTCATACCAAAAGAATGAAATCCACTTACTCTTGGCATTACAATCCGGTAGATCTTCAAACAACGACAGCGAAAGCTGTTTTTGAGCAACACCAATATCAAACAGAATTAGGCCGGACTTCGGATCATCGATAACAATGTCCCTAACCGGAAGCCATAAAAAGAGCTCTTCCTGTGAGAATCCCTCGACTCCGGTGAGACTGCCGTAAGTAAAATTTGCCCGAACAACACTCTCATAAAACGCCATCGTATCAAACCTATAAGATAGTCCTTTTCCTATAATATATTTAATTGTAAGGGGACAAGCTTATGGATGATACACATTGTGCATGACATTGACATACAAATGGATCCATGATGACAATTTTTATCAATAATAGAGCACAAATAAGAGAGAAAAGGTCTTAAATCTCACCTCCACAATATCACCTTCTTTGGCAACAATCCAACAT